GCTCTGTGCTGTGCAATTGTGTTGGTCGATTCGATTGTGTGGGACGGTCGGACGACGTACATATATTTTTTCACTGCTGCTACCGTGCCCCTGCGCCCTGTTATTTGTGTTTATGTGTGCGTGCGATTACATTTTTTCTTCGCCTCTGTAATTGAAACAAATTACTGAATGCCTCAGGAGGTGGACGCCACCAAATTGATTGTTTAGCATACGCATTTTTAAAAGAATATTTTCCATTACTCGACACACACAAGCACACACAGAGCCGACAAAATGACGTCGCTGGAACAGAATCGTTTACAAAACTTCAAAAACAAAGGCAAGGATCAGGATGTAAGTCGAAACCGCTAGACCCCGCCCCAGAGGCAATTATTTATCTAACACAACATCCATATATTTGATAATTATTCAGGAGATGCGACGACGCCGCAATGAGGTGACGGTTGAGCTTAGGAAGAACAAGCGGGAGGAGACCATATTGAAGCGCCGCAATGTCCCGAACTTGGATTCGAACACAGACGAGGATGAGCAGTTGCCCACTTCCATTAACCTGAAGAAGCTGGCACAGGCCGCAGCAGATTCCAGCAAACCAGATCAACAGTTGGCCGCCGTCCAGGCCGCCCGCAAGCTGCTTTCCTCGGACAAAAATCCACCCATCAATGATCTTATCCAGAGCGACATATTGCCCATTTTGGTGGAGTGTCTGAAGAATCACAATCACACAATGCTGCAGTTTGAGGCTGCCTGGGCCCTAACCAACATTGCCTCTGGCACATCAGATCAAACCAATCAGGTAATGATTACACCCCAATTCTGTGCTCAATGCTCGCTGGAGGAAAGTGCTAATCTTGGGTCGGGGCAATGTGTGATGCTTTTCAGGTCGTCGGCGCAGGTGCAGTGCCACTCTTCCTTCAACTTCTCAATTCTCCCGCTGCGAATGTGTGCGAACAGGCCGTGTGGGCTCTTGGTAATATCATCGGCGACGGACCCATGTTGCGCGACTTTGTCATCAAGCACGGCGTGGTCCAGCCACTCCTGTCGTTCATTAAGCCAGACATACCGATTTCGTTCTTGCGCAATGTCACTTGGGTGATCGTGAACTTGTGCCGCAACAAGGATCCACCCCCACCAGCCGCCACAATTCACGAAATCCTGCCCGCACTCAATGTGCTCATCCACCACACTGACACGAACATATTGGTGGACACGGTCTGGGCGATTAGTTATCTGACCGACGGCGGAAACGAGCAGATTCAAATGGTTATTGAGAGCGGCGTGGTGCCGAAGCTGATACCCCTTCTGGGCAATAGCGAGGTCAAGGTACAGACAGCTGCTCTGCGTGCTGTGGGCAATATTGTGACCGGATCGGATGAGCAGACACAGGTTGTGCTCAACTATGATGCGCTCTCTTATTTCCCGGTCCTACTCTCCCATCCCAAGGAGAAGATACGAAAGGAGGCTGTCTGGTTCCTCTCGAACATCACCGCCGGCAACCAGTCACAAGTGCAGGCCGTTATCAATGTGGGTCTTTTGCCAAAAATCATTGAGAACCTGAGCAAGGGTGAATTCCAGACACAGAAGGAGGCCGCTTGGGCCATCAGCAATCTGACCATTAGCGGCAACCGCGAGCAGGTCTTCACACTGATCAAGGAGGGTGTCATCCCGCCGTTCTGTGATCTCCTCTCATGCCAGGATACGCAAGTTATCAATGTAAGAGATGTCCCCTGCGTACGGTCTATGTCCAGGAGTAACCATTTTTATTCCAGGTTGTGCTTGATGGTTTAAACAATATGCTCAAGATGGCCGATACACATGTGGAAACGGTGGCCAACTTTATTGAGGAGTGCGAGGGTCTGGCCAAGATTGAGCGTCTGCAGAGCCACGAGAATGTGGAAATTTATAAACTGGCCTACGAAATCATCGATCAGTTCTTTACGGATGAGGTGAGTGACAGGCCGCCAAGTAAACAAAAACATTGGATTTTTCTGATTGCTGGAATATGTGTATTTAATAACAGGGCGAACAAACCAACATGGCCCCCTCATCAGATGGCACACAATACAACTTTGATCCGAATGCTGACAAGCTACCAATGAACTCATTCAATTTTTAAGGATCCACAGAGAAACCAAAACCAGAGCAGCAGCAGCAAGCAAAAGCGTGCAACAGACAGACAGATAGTTTTTTTGGCGAAGAGTGCTAAAACTTACATTTACTTACACATTAAGCTTGTGTATAAAAATATGGGAGCAGCAAGAAAATCACTTCACATTATAATAATAGCAATACATAATTTCCACCACTCAAAGCCCAAAACAATTGCACCATTTGCCAGCAGCAGCAGCCCAAAGCAAGTGTATTATTTAACCAGCATCAGCCCCGGCCCCCAAGAGAAAACATTTAGAGAGCCGGACAAAAAACGTACTCTTGTCATCAGTTTTAGCTTCTCTCAATTCTGTGCTAAGAAAATTATAAAACACCTTAATAAATGTGCATGTGGATCGCCAGAAAACATAATTCGATTTGTATAGTGAACGGGGGCAAACCGAACCGATTTGCTTCCCGATATACCACACAGAAATGACATACATAACGAAAAAAAAAAAAAAATTGTAGAACTATTTGATTTATATGGAATAATTTAATATTATGTACGCCTTTGATTTGTAATTGAAATTACATATGTATACATTTCTAACTAATGAAAACGATAAAAAAAAAAAACAGTCGAGATATTGTGAACAGGTCTACCACTCAGTTTGTATATACATACATGTGCGATCTTATGAGCTGTTTACATTCCATTATATCTCGCTCACTCCGTCAGGGGGCGCTACAGGACATGGAAGAGAGACCGATCGTGACGCAGGGGAGTCACGGGATATATTTTTCTTGACTCTGGCTATACCCATAATTCGATCTGATTAAAATTCTGCAATCTGGTAGATATTAATAATAGTTTCTTTAATATTGTGGATGCCACAGATTTTCACTATCTGAAAGGACGTGGCGAAACTTTTGAAACAAGACTTGATTCAGTGTGATATCACAGGAGTCTGACGCACAAAATGTGTTTGCTCTAGCTCATCAAAGTGGAAGGACAGACTTGGCTGTATCGACTAGGCTAAGCATCAATGCTGATTAAGAATATATATGTACATGATTCCTTCTGGCTGTCGGAAATCTGCATAAATCCAATATATCCCGATATTCTTTGAGTACCGGGTATAAAAACAAAAACAAAAAACGATTGCCTGGAAATGATTTCAAGTTACGGAAAACTAAAATAATATCGGCATACCAGGTGTCTGCCGAGCTGCTGCCTGCTCATTATCATTAATTATCATTTATTTACATTTGTGCGTCACTTGAACACGTTTTCGACATTATTGCGCAGTAATCACAGCTGGAGAAGTGTTTTTGACACACTGTGCGGAGGTAAAAAGCTTTGCACACATGCATAAATAATCCAAAAAACAAGAACACAACATGCATAGAGATCATTGATCACCATAGATATGGTGAGCTCAACATACAAATCAGATGGAAATGAAAAAATATTTGCCCTGCCCACTGCTGTGATTAAAGTGTGTGGAATATAAAGAATTATTGTTTTTCCAACAATCAAAAAATTGCGCGCCTTCTTTGAGGCCGCAGTCGATATCAACATAAATAATTACATGTACATGTAGTTGAATGAAATGTTATCTACATATTAGAGATGTTTCTCGTATTAATATAAAAATATAACATATAACTATATATGAAAAATTTAATTATAATCTTAATCTAGCCAATAGAACAACATGAAATTGGAACTGGATTCTTCCATTTTAGAGCCATTTAGGCCAGCAACATGTAAGATATGACATGACATTCCGTACTCCCTTACGTTGGCACTGTTTTTTGTTGAACTTTTTGCTTAAGCTTTATTTTATGCACAATACAATAAAAACGAGTACTTAAAAGTTAATCTTGCAGCGAACTTATTCATCAATGGCATACAATTATGTGGGCTGAGCTGAGAGTCTTAGTTAGCCAGTATTATTCAACGGAATATCAAAATTGAGCAATTGGAACGATTACTCACCTACGTTTTATTTGTTTAGCCTTTTCCCAAAAACCTTTTTTCCGACAAAATCCAATAAAAGGCTGGATTTGAAATGAGCCAGTGAAGTAGAAAATGTATTCATTAATCGGATAAAATTCTGTGTTCAGGTATGGAAGTTCTAGCTAGCAAGTAATTTCAAATCGAATATCAAAACAGAAGAATATGGCTTCCAATCCTTGACGGAGATCGATTAACCCATTGTAGACCAAGGGGGTATTTTAATATTCCACCGGAAATAATGAAAATTTAATATTTTTAGCGTAGTTCAGGTGAAAGAAATCGTGGTTTTCTATAAGTTCAGAGGAAAGCTGGCACGACATCTACAAGAAGAATTTACAATAAGTAATGTTTTCCGCCATTTACCTCAAGTCGTTGAACTGTTTAAATAGAGGGGGCTTAAGAGGACACACTTCTTGCGACTCGCACTGGTCGTGATTTTTTTTTAATTCAGAGTTATTTTTAGAACTCCCTGCATTATTGCATTTATTTCGCATACTTTTTGCTTCCGTCAACATTACGCTGCTGCTGCGGAAATTGGCACACACTCCACACACCACACCAGTGTGAAAGTCAAGGTCAAGGATGTTTAAGTGAAACAACCTGCTGAAATGAAACAAAAATACCTGATGGTTTCCCCAAACTTGTTAAAGTGGGAATATTTAATGTGGATTTGTATTTGTATCATATATTATATAGTAGATGGGATATATTTGATGATGGGATAGAAAGTCGAGAGAGTGTCTAATAGGAAGACGCAAATGTTTATCGCTCTCAGCTGTTCGTTCTGGTTTGCGTGCGTCTGTGTGTGGGTGAGAGAGCTCCCATGCGCGTGGCAATGCTTCGAGGCTTTTGTTGTTCGTAGTTTCCTACTACATTTTATTTTCTCATTGCTATTCGGTCCGGTTGGAGGTGTCTTGTCTGGCCCGCTTTTATTGTTGCTCACATTCACAGCTCGTGGAATTTTTTTCGCTCAAGTCAAAAGCATAATGTCGTCAACAGCCGTTCAGCCACCGACACCCGTGCCACCACCGCCGCCAGCTGCTGCTGCTTCCGCTGGAAAGGGTCTTCACTCCAAGGTGTACAATGGCCTCATTGGAGCCTGTGACAAGTTTGTGCCCGCCAAGATGCGTCCCCTGTGGATGCACGCAGCTGGTGAGTCCCATTGCGGGATACCTTATCGTGATTCTTAACTTGAACTGCTTGTTCCTATTCAGGTCCCAAAACGATCTTCTTCTGGGCGCCCGTATTCAAGTGGGTAAGTTTGCAATTCCTCCTGCTATTCGGCAGTTACATAACTGGGAGAGCGCACGACCTTCACTAATTTTCATTATCGCACACACATTGAAATCCCAGCGACCATATAGTAGAAATCTGTTCGCAGGTACCATTAAATGAAATAATTTTGATTATTCCGAGCAACCAGCTTGGACGCGTCTGATAACTGAGTGTTTGTGTGTGCGTGTGCGTGTTCGTGTGGATTGTGGAAAACTTTGCTAACACATCTATCCCTTCCCGTCTAGGGTCTCGTTGCAGCCGGACTGGGTGATTTGGCCAGGCCAGCGGACACAATTTCCGTATCCGCATGCGCTGCCTTGGCGGCCACGGGCATCGTCTGGTCACGCTACTCCCTGGTGATCATACCCAAGAACTACAGTCTATTTGCCGTGAATCTCTTTGTCGGCCTGACGCAGATGGTCCAACTTGGTCGCGCCTACATGTACCAGCAGGAGCAGGAGAAACTGAAGAAGGCGCAGGAAGAGAAGCCCGCCCTCACGCAGTAGAGAATTTCCATCGAATTGGTGCTATCCCCCATATCCCCCTATATATATATTTAAATCTATTTGTATTTTACAAACCAATCCCACAACGCACATCGTTAACGAAAGGATCTGAAAAGGGTATATTCTGCGCAGATCTATATCTGCGTGTATACACTTTGTTGACCATTATTATTTATGGTGTTATGCCTTATAAACGTGATTCGTACTACTTAAGTTGTAAATGTGGAGGCTTCGCGTATGCTTTTTTATTGATACGAGAATTCATTATTGGACATTTTGTGATCTTCAACAAATAAACCAATACATTGTAAGACTGTAGATAGTAGTGAAACGAACGTACTTTTACTGGGAATTATACATAAAGTATAGATTGGACTTTGTCGATAACGATCTTTAAGCTCTCATCTATTTTCACAGAGTCAATCTGTGATTTTGTCATGTATATTGGTACCTATTGAACTAAGTTATGTCTACCAACCAAATTAAAATATATTGGAATGTGCTACCGTAGAAATCGGCTTCAAAATTATATTGAGATAGCATCAGAGCTGCAGGAAAGTTTTGCAAATGATATTTCGGCTCGAACTATTTGGCTTCGGCCAAAGGAGGCGTCTTTAATAGCAAGGAACCCTGGCAGAAAGCCACTTCTACATAGTCGAATGAAGAAAGCTCGCTTAAATTGGTTTAAAGAAAAATAAAGTTGTGATTAATCTGAGTGTTCAAATTCTCGGATGAGTCCGAATTTAATCTTCGGCTAATATTATGATATGGGGATAAATATCTTAATATAAAACTGAATCGCTATTTATGATTAAGAGAAGGGTATGATGAATGCAAAAAAGTATGAAGAAATTATTCGCAGTGGAGTTGTGGCCAGTATATAATAAGTTACTGAGAGAGAAGATTCCATCTTTCATGATTCAAGGACGATTCTGGATATTAGGATTCACTAGATTGCGTAGACTAGAGAATGTCTAGGCCCTTATGACTGCCAAAATAAGAAAACGGAAGCCAAAAACTATTCTTACTAGTTCAGTTAGCGGATGTTATAGGTGAAGTTTGATTTGAGGATAAACGGGTGAATATCTGAAGTCTTTATACGTTTGGGGGGTACCGCAAAATATTAATTAATTCTTATTTTGAAAAAACTTGAATATTGTAAATATATTGTTTATTATTAGTTGATAGAAAACAAAATAATCTATTAGAAAAAATTTAGTGTTTGTTGAAGAAATCGTTGCTATAATTTTACTGAACTTTTTTTTCCTTAGTTTGATAGAATTACCTAATGACCGTTGAAAAAATGTTATATGGAAAAATGTTAGTTTTAAGTAAATGAATATGACATCAAACAATTTAGTGTATACTTTTTTTTAAGAATGGATTTATCGACGGTGAAGAAGTCAAAAATTCATGTTTGCTGGGTGTATATTTTTTTGGCTCCACAGACTGCCTGTAAACTTAAGAGCGCTTTCTTCATTCGACTATTCACAAGTGGCTTTTGCAGGTGTCCTTACCTGTCGGTGACACGTTTTTATTGTATTTATTTTATTTTCAATAGTCGTATCTGGACGGCATGGGCGTGGGCATCGAGGTGTTCGAGCTATTTCATATTTTTTTTCGCCTTTTTCACATATATTTTTTTTTGCATTTTCATATAAAGTTTGGTTAGCATTTTCAAGAAGTGTGTTTCGAGACAATGGCTAAGCGTATTACCAGGCCGCCGGGAAATAGCGAACAAACAACACACAGCCCCCATATAGAGAAAACGTACTAATACTCTATCAAGAAGCAATGACACATAATGAGAAAACAGAATTGGAGAACTGGCTCTTTTAAGGGTTCCTTCCCCTTTAAATTTGTATTAGAGCACACTTATGAAGGATTTGGCTTTAATCGTAGGCTCTGATAAAGAGGTCTTTAGTATGATCCGACTGCATATTGTGAAGAATGTATTCCCCCGTTTCAAATTTGTATACAGCATTTACAGTTTTCTAACGGATTGAAAAGTGTAATATCTGCAGATACAAGATAATTCATATTATTTTAATCACACGCCATGCGAACATATTGACATTTACATATGTATATGCTATGTGTATTTATTTGCAAATGTGTTTTATAGAGAGGTGCTGTATGCCTATCCAAACGGGTTGAGATAGTATTACCTACCCTGCTTCAGTTTGTGTGGGGCCACATTTACATACAAAATGTATGTCTATAGACATCTATGCCTTATGGTAAATGATAATTCTGGTGATAACAGAATTGCGCTAATAAAACTAGTAAAACATAATCATAGGGACCCCACACTTAACAGAAAGCTCAGTTGCCGGTGAGAGCTTCGTTGGAGCTGTTTGTGTACCAGATTCTACTTGGGTATTCCGCTCTGCTCTCCAGAACGCTGCTCTCCGTTATCACGTTCCAATCTATTGCTAGACTAACAGTTCTAATCAATTAATAGAAGCTTGACTAAAACAGCGCGAATCATCTGTTCTCAATTTTTATTATCAAACATCACTTCAGTTTCTCTTGGCTGTCTGAAAAGGTTTGACGTTCAGAGCCCTCAGAAATATAATGCCCCCGAAGCCTCCATCTGCAGCAGCCCTTGCCTCAGTGGGTAAGAGACTAGGACTCCACTCAAAGGCGTACAATGGACTGATTGGAGTCTGTGATAAGTTTGTACCCCCCAAGATGCGTCCCCTCTGGATGCATCCAGCTGGTGAGTGTCAAAGAGTGCCCACCCAACCAACTGATCTCATTACTGATTTTGCTCTGTTAAGGTCCAAAGACGATATTCTTTTGGGCCCCGCTGGTCAAATGGGTAAGTTGTCAGGAGGTTATATAACTTTGACAGCTGCGTCCTTTGGCAATTTTCATTATCGCGTCGACACTGATAAACAAATCTGTAGGCGAGCGTTTCTGCTACTCTACTCGTACTAAAACGACCATATATTGTGCTTTATTATGATTTGTTTATGTCGGAACAACCTGTTCAGAATAGCGACGCGATAAATGCGCATTTGCCTCTCTCAGAGAACCTATACAGAGAGGCAATGGCAGATCTATTTCCCACACGCGCGACTTTTGATAACTCAAAGTGGAATGATTTTGGATTTCTCGTGGAATTTTTCTTAGAGAGAGCTTTCAAAACATTCTACAAAGATTTGCAGTCAATGGGAACGTAGATTACTTCAAGTTGTATAATTATTCTAATCTTTAAATTGTATTTGTTGTGTATTTTCCATCCCAGGGCTTGGTTATTGCTGGACTGAGTGATCTGACCCGACCTGCAGACACTATTTCCCCAAATGGCTGCCTTGCCCTCGGAGCGACGAATCTCATTTGGACGCGCTACGCTCTGGTGATCATACCAAAGAACTACAGTCTTTTTGCTGTTAATCTGTTTGTGAGTCTGACGCAGCTTTTCCAATTGGGGCGGGCCTACAACTACAAGTGGGAGCAGACCAAACTGGAGAAGGTAACATCGGAGAAGCCAGCTCTTCTGCAGCAGTAGAACATAAGTTATGCATAGACCAATTTTTCATCAACAAATAAATACAATCTAATTGTTGTCTAGTCTAAAGATAGCTTTGAAATTGATTATAGCGGGAAACTCAATCAGCGATGGTTTGTGTGCTATCGATTATTATGATTGCAAGTGTCATCGATGGCAGGGTGACCGCTTACGGTATTTTTGATACTTTTCGGTATTTTTGGGGGTCCAAAATGAGCCGACGGTATATTTACGGTATACACTCTCTCAAATTTAAAAAGCGTTTCAGTCAAATTATATTTCTACTTTCTAGACTATATTTTGCCTATAATAAATAGATTTAATACCATTTTTCAGCACACATAATATTAAAATATAATAATAAAAATATGTCTGAAACTTATAATTTAATATTAAGCTGTTATTTGAAAGATTTATATATAGGAATACTGACTTAAATTTACTAGATCCAAGCAGCAATGTTAATTTCGTAGAATTTCAAAAAATGAATTTGGGCATTAATGTAAGCCTCGAAGTGTCAAAATTAGAAAGAAATGAAAAATATGTATTTTTCCAAAGAGCACAGTCATTTTTGATCGAGTTGAGTATACAATTAGAGAAAAGGTTGCCTTTTAACGAGAAGGTTGTTAAACTTCTCTCATTCCTAAACCCTGAAGACATAGTCAATGGCCAATTATCAGATTTGCATGATCTGTATAAAAGATTTCCTCAACTTATTAAAGATCCGCAAGGAATCGATAATGAATTTGTCCTCTTAAAAAATGATGAGTTTCTTTTTAGTTTATTAAAAACACATAAAAGTCCTGGCCATTTCTGGTATACATTGGGACAAATAAAAGATTTCAACAATGAAATTAATAAAAACAAATACAAGAAATAGTTTTAAGAATATAAATGTTTCAAATCTTGTATATGTGAGACAAGGTCTAAGGAAGAACAACGGTTGCGAGAATTTTCAACCGTACACTGAAATGCTGTTAAAAAATCCCAGCGACATCGTTAGTGGCGATAGTGATGTTTGTGATTAGTATATTATTAAGACTTTATTATTATTAATAAGTCTTATTAAGACTTAAGATTATTAAATGAAATGAATGAAACAATTATTTCGAATAGGCCAATCAAGTAGCTTCCATATAGCTGATATTCGACGGAAGATCAAAAACGAGGAATATGGAACTTGAATTCGTCAGTATATTTACGGTATATTTTGAAAATGAGGCGGTATGTTTCGGTGTATTTCTGAGGGTCGGACTGTATATTTTATCGATAAATCCGCGGTCACACTGATCGATGGCCTCCCACCTCTGATTGCGAAAAAAATAAATATATTTTCGCTGGAATTTCGGTATAATTAATAAACAAATCATGAATTTAATAAGCGGCATAAAGTTGTACATTGAAAAAATGTGCACAGAGTCGGGGCCGGGCATGAAAATCATCCTGCTGGACAAAGAGACGGTAAGCGAAAGCAATCAATGCCCCCACGAGTCATAGATTTGTATAGGAGGAAATCCATAATATCTATTGCAGACGAGTATTATTTCCATGGCATTTAGTCAGTCGGACATGCTACAGCGGGAGGTGTACCTGTTTGAACGGCTTGATTCTGGACGCTCCAATGAGAGGCTCAAGTACCTAAAGTGCATTGTGTTCATCCGCCCCACCAAGCAGAACATCCAGCTGTTGGCCAATGAGCTGCGCAACCCCAAATACAGCGCGTACTACATATGTAAGTGGAGCAATATATGATTGATTATCACCCCACCACTAAAACCGTACCTTCCGTAGACTTTAGCAACATTATACCACGCACTGACATCAAGTACCTGGCTGAATGCGACGAGTCCGAGTCGGTGAGGGAGGTGAAAGAGCTCTATGCGGACTATTTGTCCGTGAACCCGAATTTGTTCTCCCTCAACATACCCAACTGCATGGCGAATCTGAACTGGCTGCCGGATGCCCTGACACGCAGCATGCAAGGCATCACAGCTGTCCTGCTGTCCCTGAAGCTGAATCCAGTGATTCGATATCGGGCGGGTTCCCAGGCGGCCCAGCTGTTGGCCAAGATGATCTACGAGCAAATCACCAAGGATTCGACACTGTTTGATTTTCGTTCAAATATGGATGGGTCGGCACCGCCTTTGCTGCTGGTTCTGGATCGACGAGATGACCCGGTGACGCCGCTCTTGCATCAGTGGACTTACCAGGCCATGGTCCATGAACTGTTGCAGATTAAAAACAATCGCGTGGACCTGTCGGACCGCGCCAATGTGCCCAAGGACTTCAAGGAGCTAGTCTTGAGCGGCGATCAGGATGAATTTTATGGAAATAACATGTACGCGAACTACGGCGAGATTGGATCGACCATTAAAGCACTGATGGAGGAATTCCAGCGCAAGGCTAACGATCAGAAAAAGGTCGAGAGCATAGCGGACATGAAGAACTTCATCGAGTCCTATCCGCAGTTCAAGAAGATGTCGGGCACAGTGCAAAAGCATTTGTGTGTGATTGGGGAGCTCTCGGGGCTGAGCAATAAGCGAAACTTGTTTGAGTTGTCCGAGCTGGAGCAGGAGATTGCCTGCAAGGCCGAGCATTCGGCTCAGCTGCAGCGGATCAAGAAGCTGATTGCCGACGAACGGGTTACCATTGACGATGCCCTGAAGCTGGTGGCCCTGTATGCGTTGCGCTATGAGCGTCATGCCAATTGCGATACCTCTAGCCTGCTGCAGATCATCAAAACCCGTGGTGGACGACCCCAGATTGTGCCCGCTCTGATCGAATATGCGGGAAACCATGTGCGGCAGGGAGATCTCTTCAACATGGTGCGGATTACCGACGCCGTGAAGCTGACTAGAAACCTAATTAAGGGCTTAAAGGGGGTGGAGAACGTCTTCACCCAGCACACGCCACTGCTAAAGGAAACGCTCGAAGATATATTTAAGGGACGCGAGCTGGATCCCGTCTTTCCGGCCATCAACTCCGAACTAGTGCCATTCCGACGACCGCCCCAGGAGGTGGTGGTGTTCATCATTGGCGGTGCCACCTATGAAGAAGCTCTGGCTGTCCATCAATTGAATAATTCTGGTTACAAGATCATTCTAGGCGGCACCACCATCCACAATTCGCAGAGCTTCATCAATGAAGTGCTGTCGGCCACGAATGGCATTCAGTTCAAGCACACAAAGTCCATGATCAAGTATTGTTCGACAGACAATATCTAGAGGGAATATCACCAGCCGGAAACTATATTGTTAACTATTTATTATCTGTGTAAACCATTGTACTATTCCCCCCTTAAGCTTATTCCATGTAATATATCATTGTCTATCGGTTATGTATCTCCAGGCAACGGACTGGAGGGCTAAAATGTATTATATCTTCTATATATACTATATTAACCATACTTGTGTGTGTGTGTTTTTAATGGGTACCATGGCAACGTCTTCTGTTTTTGGCTCAAACCAAAAACCCTAATTTTTCCAAAGGATCATCATCATCATCATGTCCAGCACGTATTTCAATGAAATCTGGCATCAGTCGCAGCATGAATGCGAGCTCTTGTCTACCATTGACTATGAGCGTCAGCACCAGGATGTGGAGACAACGGTGGCCACCATGAATGCAGCCGTTGGCTCTGTGGCAGCCGATGCCGATGCCAAGGCCCTGCTGCAGTCGAGTCTCTACGAGTTCTATTTGAGATACATTTGTTTGAGCAATCGCCTGGAGGATGTATATGATAACGTAAGTATTATGAGATCATAGACACAGACAAACATCAATGCTGGTCCATTCCACAGATGATCCAGCCGCAGAAGCGTCAGCTGGTGCGTAAGCTTCTAGACGCCTGCCTGGGGCGTGTCATAGAACTCAAGCACGATCTGGTCAACATTGATTTAATGGAATTTAGCTACAACGACGCAGTGATAGAGCGACTGCGTCTCACGCCCATGGAGTCGGAACTGCGAGTGCCACGGTACTTCCTGCGAGAGCGGCAGCAGGAGCTCGAGTTTCGCAAGCGAACCATGCAGGAGATACTGGTCAAGCTGGGCTGGCTGGAGGAGCACGAGCTGGAGGAGACCGTGACCACGGAGATCGAGGCCATACGTATGCTCCAAATGCATGAGCGGGCACGCCAGGGCCGTCTTCGTGCCCATTTCATGAAGGAGATACGCATCCTCAAGGAGAAGGGCAAATCGGAGGAGCGCACCGAAAAGGAACGCAGCGATTCTGGCCTCTTGGCGGCCATGAAGATCCAGAAAATGTGGCGTGGCCACACGGCGCGTAGGATAACGCGACGCCGCAAAATGGAGGAAATGATTCTGATTGGTATGCTACCGCCACCGGCGGCGGTACTCAAAGAGCGGGCCGAGAAACTCGACAAGTTACAGCACAACGACAAGCGCTATGAGGCGCAGGACGTCTATGCGGAGCAGTTCGAGACGCGACAGCGGGTCGTCCAGGAGGAGATTCGACAGAAGCATGGGGCCAGCATGAAGGAGGACATAGCCGACGAAATACGGGCCTGGGTAAAGGATTGCTATGAGAAGACCGGCAAACTGCCAGACTTTCCCACGGAAGATCAGGGCGGATCTCTGCACATATTCAGCCGACCGGGCACCGAGAGCGAGCACAGTCGCTCCTCTGCCCGATCCTCCAAAGAATCGCGCAAGACCAAGGACAAGTCCAAGTCGCCGGCGCGCAGTGGCGATCTGAATGTCAATGAGAATCAGGAGGAGGATGTCAGCTTCCAGCCGGCCCCATCCATCTGTCTGCCCGACATACGCACGGAGATAGATCTGTAAGAGGAATGATTAATGAAGAGTAACCAAAATAATAAATGTTCCCCTCTATCTATGGACAGTTTCAATGATACCTGGCGCGACAAGGACGAGACGGGCGTGTTGAGCCAGGCTGCCTACGAGGATATGATCTACAGCGACAAGTACCAGGAGGTGGAGCTCGAATTCCGGCGCGCTGTCGACGATGTGATGCGCCAGGAGATCGAACTGCTGCAGACGGCCGTGGGCAAGAAGATCAAGAAGAGCAGCAAGAAGACGCGTCGCTCGGGAAAAAAGAACAAGAAGAAGAAGGAGAAGGATCTCACGCCAGACCGCACCACAGAGTCGCTGTATGAGGAACTGGTCACCAATGGCATTATCCGCAAGTATCCGGAGCTGAAGCTAAAGCAATTTCTGGGCGACAAGGCCTTGACCGCTCGCAACGGAACGAATCCATCGCCGGGCGACATCCGGCAGATCCTCACAGAGTACTGCATCCTTCCACTGGGTTCGGAGGCCATACACAATTGCACACCGCTAATACGCTCCATACTGCTGGCCGGTCCCAGGGGGTCAGGAAAGAAGGCCCTGCTCCATGCAATTTGCACGGAGGTGGGCGCCGTGCTCTTTGACCTCACACCAGCCAATATTGTGGGCAAATATCCGGGCAAGTCGGGTCTCATCATGCTCATCCATTTGGTGGTGAAGGTATCCAGACTGCTGCAGCCAGCTGTCATTTACATGGGCGATGCAGAGCGACCATTCATGAAAAAGATACCCAAAACCGATCGCACGGATCCCAAGCGCCTGAAGAAGGATTTGCCCAAGCTGATCAAGAATATAGCACCCGAGGATCGCGTCATTTTTGTGGGCACCTCTAATCTACCCTGGGAAGCGGATCAAAAGATGCTGCAGTCGGTGTACAATCGGTTCATTTACATTCCACGACCCGACTATGGGGCCATGTCGCATGCCTGGAAAACTCTGCTACAGTGAGTATTTCTAGAGGTCCTAGTGCGTTTATCTGCTTTCCTTTTTGGCAGTGAGTACTCTGGGGGTGTCTCCAATTTGGACACCAGTGCCATGGCAAAGATATCCGACGGCTATACCATAGGAGCCATCGATGCATGCCTCAAGGAGGTGATGACCTGCAAACGGAAGCTACAGCTACGTACCCAACCGCTCACCAATGCAGAGCTCATCAATGTGCTGTGGTGCGTGGTACACTGAACATGGAAATAAACAATATAGATCAAATTTGTTTGATTTTTTAAGCACGCGTGATCCCGTCTACCGCGAAGAAGAAGAAGCCTTTGAATCATGGTGGTCTAAAACCCCATTGGGACGTCGCCGGCAGCGTTTTCTGGAGCTGGAAGAGGAGCGTCTCATTGAGGAGCAGGCCCAGGCGGCCAAACAGGGAAATGGCAACAAAAAGAAAGGCCTCAACTGATTGATATACATTATTATTCACACTACGTTCTATTTAAGTTTATAAGTAAAATCTTTTTTACCACATTTACAGTGTATTTCATTGACAGCCAGTTCCAGCGTGTCCTGATCCTCCAGAAGCACCCGCAGCTCTTTCAGCTTTTTGTTTAGCAAGTCCTCATGATCGCCCACGCACCAAAGTAGGCTCACATGAAACGAGGGCGGGGCATAGAACTTGGGTAGACGATAGTCGTGCATGACCTTGTCAATGGGCTGAAGGATCGAGAGCACTTTCTCCGTAAAGGCTCCGTCCAGCTGCACTGCCAGGAAGGTGCGCGTGCGCTCCTCATTCGTATAGATCTTGAGGCCTTGAAGAGTGCTAGCAAAGCTGGGCAAGGAGTTCACAATTAGTGTGATGTGAGAGGTCACGACGGTAGGGACTTACCCCGTGGAGCTGTTAAGGGCGACCTGCAGCGATCGCGAAAACTCATCGATTTGATGGTATTGCAGCACCACAGTCCGGCTGAGACTCAGATGCAGTGGCTCATTGGCTTGCATTTGGACGTCGGGTGCCAGGCAGGCAATGGCTTCCTCCTGGAATTCCTCCAACTGCTCAGCGCAGGCAAGTGCCGGTATATAAACATAGGTGGCCCAATTGCCGCGCTCGTGCTTAAAACTCCGGATACGTCCGCCATGGAGAGCGGGATCATCTATCACTTCATCGGCATCCTCCTCCACAGGTTTTGCCTTCTTGGGGCCCAAAAGGGTGACAGCTGTGGGCAGAGCAGCAGATCTTTGGCGGTTGAGATGTAGAAATCTACAGGAATGCCCAAAACTACCATTACCTCTTTAGCGTGTTAAAGATGAGATTTGGCGGATCGTCTTCCGAACTGGAACTACCGCTGCCTTCATAGTTTACAAGAGCCATAATAAATTATTTTATTGTAACTAAATTATAAACAAACTAAATAAAGTGTGCCGGAAGAAATTTGATACTGTCCAGCCCTCAGAAATATACCGAAATATACCGTAAATATACTGACGAAATATTTTCGGACGGTATATTTTATCGATAAATCTGCGGTCACACTGCTCAGATACGAACCAACCTTTTTGGCATATATTTTTTCAAATATTTTTGTGGCTAACATGCAAGTGCACAGCTAGAATTATTATAGAATAGCAAAATTTCAAACCATTATTGAGCTGAACACCGATGGATATCCAACTGGGCGCCATGCTGCACGTGTACAAGGGGGAGTGGGGTCTGCCGACAATTGATTTTGAATGTTTACGTGCTCTGGTAGGTTCAGTTGCATCACATCGCACACAGCACATTTCCATTTAATCGCTATGAATGAATCCAACTCTTGCCATTTGTATCGCAGTGTCTACTGCGGTTCACCCGCTGCCCCATGGACGTGGAAACGAATGCGAATCCGCTGCGTTCAGGAGCCGGAAAGTTGCCTTATCTTCAGATTGGCAATGACAAATTTGTGGGCTACAGTCAAATAAAGCGCGTGCTGGATCTTGAGGTGAGTGCACACTCCGACCGACCGGCAACAAAAACAAATGAGCATAAAACAATGCCGGGTGAACAAACTGTGGGATCTATTTATAAACTTTTGCGTATGGCGTATGAATGGATTTTGCATTTACTTGTGGTTCCGTTCCTATCTGTCTTTCAGGGTTACCCGATTGATGCGCACTTAAACACCAAACAAAAGCATTTGTCCGCCACATATGCCAACTGGGTGTTCACCAATCTGCATGCCTACTACCACTACTTCCTGTATGGAGAGCCGTTCAACTTTGACAAAACCACCCGTGGGCTATATGCCAAGCGCACGCCATTCCCATTCAACTTTTACTATCCCTCCACGTACCAGCGCGAGGCATGCGATGTGGTCCAGGTTATGGCCAGCTTCGATGTGAACGATAAGCTGGATAAGCACGAATCGGACTATGTAATAGCTATTTTGGTTTAGGCTTTTTGCGTTATCTTACAAATGTTGGTTCTTTCAGCTGGTTTTAAATGCCAAAAAGTGTGTTAACCTGCTCTCCCGGAAGCTGGGCCGCAAGGTGTGGTTCTTCGGCGACACCTACAGCGAATTCGACGCGATTGTGTACAGCTATTTGGCCATAATCTTTAAGATAACACTGCCCAACAACCCACTGCAGAATCACATCAAAGGGAGTCAGAATCTAGTGAATTTCATCAACCGCATCACCAAAGACATCTTCCGCAACGAGGGCTTCAGCTCCATTAAACCCACAAAGACCGCAAACGGCACAGATGTAAATGTGACGCATTCGGAGCATAAATTTCTCGAGTCTGAGTGCAGTACGAAAATCATAGCCGGCGTCGGAGCCCTGTTGGCCATGGGCGCGTTTGCAGCATGGCGCGGTATTTACAACCAGGTGGGGGCATTGTCTTTTATTATAGCATAGATCCTAAACATTTAATCCTTTTTGTTAGTTTTGGGCCAGCTTTTTTATTTGGCTTCAGAAATTCTACAAATCTTAAAAAAATTAGTGCATGCAAAATTATCAGTTCCATTTCAAAATTTGATTTGCTTTTTACCCCCATTGCAGCTGACAACGCGCTCCTCAACAGATTACGATGGCATAGACTACGACGATGATGATGCGGAGGAGGGCCTAGAATAATAATGCAGCTCTCTATATTGATATATGTACATATATCCATAGAGTATATATTTATAAAGTGTATAAAGGGGAGGAAGCACAAACAAAAATGTCCAACATCAAGTGAATATATATAAGTAAACTACTATATATATATACCAATACCTATGTATATGTGAATGTTCGAATTCGTTTTTAAATTGTCTGTGTAATATAGCATTTTGAAGTCATCCCATTAGAGCGGAACAGAAAGGATTACAAACGCTGCTCTGTTGCTTTTATTGGATTGAAAAAATAAACATCTGAATGTCTAAATCGATCCTGATCGGTATAATATTTATGTAGACAGGCTTTGATCAGCGGTGGGCATTTCCCCGCTCCTACACGACGTGGTAAATTGATGCTCGAAAGGCAAAAGCGAATGCTTCAAGAGGGAATGACCAAGAATTCAAAAACAAAATATAATTCATGTGCATGTGCATAATGCAGCACATTGATGCTCGACTAGAAACACACCGGATTTCTGACCAAGAATAGCACAAAATCAACGTACATATCGCGTGCATGCCATGGAGGAATTTGGTTGCTTTGGTTCTATAATGGAGAGTCCTCCCTAGCTTCGTTTCTCCAGAGAGGTTTATTATCTACTTAGGATCAGATATTATATACACATAAGCAAAGCAAAGCAAAAATATCCATTCAAATTCGCTTCACAACGTTTTCCGGTGTGGTTCTTGGTATTTTTTATTACACGCTAGGCTTAAACGTACATTTCGAAAAGGTCGTCAATATGATAAATAGAGATGTTAGTAGATTCTACAATGGAATTGGTAGATGATGGATGTGGAAGGGCCTCAGTGGCAGGCCACTCATGTCTTGAGTGCATCCTGTAACTTTCGCCGCGCCACACCGACACGATCCTCCTGCTTTCGTATGTCCTCCTCGGAGATGATAACCGCATGCATTAGCGGCTGTTCTGGGTTCATGAATGCCATGGCATTCTTGGTCAGTTCGGCCTTGGTCGAGCTCTGGCCATGTACACCGGCATTGAGCATGTGCAGGGCTGTGGCAACCGACTGGAGGACTGTCTGTTCGTCGACATTTGGGCCGACAGTGCGTATGGTCTTGGGCAGTGATATATCGTCCAGCTCCTCACCATTATCGTGGCATGCACGCAGTCGCTCCAGCCTCTTCTCCCAGAACAATTGTTTGGGCTTCTCCTGGGCCCCATGCTTGGAATCGTGCTTCACCTTGCTGGGATCCTGGGTATGGTTACCAATCGGTGTCACCGGTTGCTTGAAAATGGAGGCAGTCTGTCGTATGGGCGGCACCAGCGAGACATCTGTGCGTAGAGCTCGACTGTAAACGATTTCAAGAGATTATCAGTAAGAAGATGTCTACAAAAGCAACAACAAAATACACCAACAGCACACAAAAAACGAAAAGTATATAAGAGAAAGAACCATGCAGATTACTATTAAGAGAAAAAATATGGCACAGGTGGCACAGAGTTACAGCGATCAAATGCCAATTTCTTGTTTTGGTTTTTTCTTTTCGAATTCAAATTCATATTGTTCTTGCTGTAGACTTTGCGGCCTGGACAAAGGCTACGGGCTACGGAAACAAGACGAGACACTCTTGCGCATGCACGAGCTTGGAGCCAAGTACTCTCCTCCGGCCACATTCACTTGGCTCTACCTGAGTTCCATCTGCTGTTGCTGGCGCAGATTGCTGGACGATCCACCAGCCGCAGTGGAGGATGAGGCGCCTGCTGTTGTTGCCGTTGCTGCTGCTGTCACTGTCGCTGGCGATGCTGAGTATGCTGCTGTGCCGCCGCCGCCGCTGCCGCTGTTTGCCTGGGCCCTGGCATATTTCCGTTTTAGTGAAGCTCCAGCTCCAGCGCCACCGGCGCCAATTGGCAGGGGCATGGCACTGCAGCGGTACAGCGATATCGATGGTGAAGGCAGCTGGCGCTGCTGCAGCTTCCCGGACTGGAAATCAAAGCTTCCAATGTCAAATACCTCGCCCCCCTGCTGCTTTCCTTCAACTCTTTTTCCTGTTGGACTGTTTTTGAGGACGGACACAGTTGTGGGTGTTGGTGGGGGGATGGTTGATCATGTGTGTGTTTGTGTGTATGCATAGGCGTGTGCGTGTGCGTGTGTGTGTTTGGTGTGGTGTGGTGTGGGTGTGTATGCGGATGTAATAACAGAAAAGTAGTGAGAGTGATTAAACGTATATTCCGAGATTTACAACGTGCAGGGAAGGATCTATGTGTCCGCCTGTCTGGAGATGGGGCTCAGCTTCTTTTACCTGTAGTAAAAAACATCCACTTTATTGTTGTTGTTGCTGCTGATGCTGCTGCTGTTGGTGGTAGTGGCGCAACTGCTGCTGCCCGACTTTCGCCCCTCATCGCGTTGCCAGCCCTTTGGCAGGACACTGCAGTCGACGCGTTTTCTTTCAATTGTTACACTCGGATTCATCTGCATAGTTTCGCAACTAAATAATTATCAAATTCTTCGACGGCAGCGTCTGGAAAAACTATTTCGATACCACTTGCTGAGCAGTGTATTCACAGGGCTGCATAACGGTACTCAACCCTGGCCTGCAATCGATAACAGCTGAAGAAAGAAGAAGCAGAAACTGTAGGCGACGTAAGAAATTTCTGAATTTTCATTTAAGTTCTTGCAGGAATATGTAAGGCAAGTTCACACACCACGCCACACTCCATCGACAGTCGCCAGCACTCTGCAACAGTTGCCGCCAACACGCAAACCCCGCGGTACAGACAGCGTACTCGAAATTTCATATCTGGGACAAGTGGCAGCTGCTGGGCGAGCGCTTCAAGATGTCTTCTTCGGCCATATTCGTGCTGGACGTAAAGGGCAAGGTGTTGATATCTCGCAATTATCGTGGTGACAACATCGACATGGCAGTCATAGATAAATTCATGCCACTGCTAATGGAGCGCGAGGAGGAGGGGCTCGTCACGCCCATCCTACAGACGGCGGAGACAACGTTCGCGTACATCAAGACGAACAACCTGTATATTGTGTCTACGACGCCGCGCAATAAGAACGTCAATATTGCCCTGGTCTTTGTTTTTCTGCACAAAATAGCCCAGGTTTTCGTCGAGTACTTCAAGGAGCTGGAAGAGGAGTCCATTCGCGACAACTTTGTGATCATCTATGAGCTGCTCGATGAGCTGATCGACTTTGGCTATCCACAGACCACCGACTCAAAGATACTGCAGGAGTACATAACGCAGGAGGGCCACAAACTGGAACTGCAGCCCCGCATACCTGTGGCCGTCACAAATGCCGTCTCCTGGCGATCTGAGGGCATCAAGTATCGCAAAAATGAAGTATTCCTCGATGTGATCGAGTCCGTTAACCTGCTGGCCAATGCCAATGGCAATGTGCTGCGCAGCGAGATTGTGGGGGCCATCAAAATGCGTGTCTATCTGTCGGGCATGCCTGAGCTTCGGTTGGGCCTCAACGACAAGGTTCTGTTCGAGAGCACAGGACGTGGAAAATCAAAGTCCGTGGAGCTGGAGGATGTCAAGTTCCATCAGTGTGTGCGTCTGTCGCGTTTCGAAAACGATCGCACAATCTCGTTCATTCCCCCGGATGGAGAATTTGAGCTGATGTCCTATCGCCTTAACACGCATGTAAGTAGTTAAAATCTCATATATAGGCCTATGGTTTCAACTAAAACCCTCACAATAGGTCAAACCTCTGATATGGATTGAGTCCGTTATTGAGCGACACGCACACTCACGTGTGGAGTACATGATCAAGGCGAAATCTCAGTTTAAGCGCAGATCAACGGCGAATAATGTGGAAATTGTTATACCCGTGCCGGCCGATGCAGATTCCCCCAAATTCAAGACGACCATTGGCAGCTGCAAGTATGCGCCCGAACAGAATGCCATCATTTGGACGGTGAAATCGTTCCCTGGCGGCAAGGAGTATCTGATGCGAGCCCACTTTGGTTTGCCCAGCGTCGAGAGCGAGGAGAATACAGAGGGAAAGCCACCGATACAGGTGCGCTTCGAGATACCGTACTTTACCACATCGGGCATTCAGGTGCGCTATCTGAAGATCATCGAGAAGAGCGGCTACCAGGCCTTGCCCTGGGTGCGGTATATAACGCAGAACGGGGACTACCAGCTGCGCACCAATTGAGGGGCAATCCACCCACGACATCCATTCCAGCCAAGCAGCTTCAGCGAAAGACGTGTCCTTTTGTTTTCGTAGTCTTTAGATAGATAGCTTCTTCACCTTCACATTTACAGCCTGCCAGCCGCCGAGTTATGCGTTGCTTTAAGTCGAAAGTATATATATATATTTGTGTATTTGTATTTTGTATTGTTTTCAGTATATGTATATTTTATGTAAATCAAAGCTAATAAATTTTAACACCTTTTCGTAACACCTACACAGGGGATGGAGTCATAATAGTAACAATTGAATTAAGTTAAGGGTTGAACCCACACAGAAAAACAAAATTTGTCTATAGAAGCTTAATCATAATAAATGCACTTGGAGTCTCTCGGTTTTCGATTTCGTTAGATCTACAGATCAGATCTACTGCTTAAAGTCCTTCAAGGGATAGCTGTCCTTGTGCGCCTCTATATGCTCCTGGAGCTCGCGCTGCTGTTCCACCAAATGCTCGGGCATCTCGGCGTACACGCCCTCGAACATCTCTTTCCAGTTGGGTTTTAGCTTCTTCTCGGACACAGCAATCTGCTTGAGTACCTTCTTGCGCACTTCCTTGATGTATGCGGTTTCCTCCGCCTCATCGAACCAGCCCTTGTGTACCATGTAGCGCTTAAGCTTCGAGATCGGGTGCTCTACGGAGTTCCAAACCTCTATTTCCTCTGTCGACCGGTATGCTGTACTGTCGTCCGAGGTGGAATGATGTCCCACACGGTAGGCCAAGGCCTCAAACACCACCGGCTTGTTCTCACGCAGCACATACTCTCGAGCTTCTTTCATGGCATTGTATACGGCAAAGACATCGGTGCCATCCACACGGATGGTGGCAATACCATAGCCCATCGGACCACGACCAGCTATACCATCGCCTCTGTATTGCTCATGGGAGGGCGTCGATATGGCAAAGCCATTGTTGCGACTGCATTTGAGAAGATAAAATTGGATGGATGGATTATTTGGTGATCTTTTCATCCTAATTTTTCTGATCCACTCACCAGAAGAGAATGACGGGGCAGTTCAGCGTTGCAGCGAAATTGAAGGCCGCATGAGCATCTCCCTCCGAAGCCGCACCCTCCCCAAAGTAGCAGACCACACAAGCATCGTTGTTCGGTCGCATCTTCATCGCATAGGCGGCACCCACAGCCTGTGGCATTTGAGTGGCTGTAAAACAGTAAATATAGATTCATAATTGCCTGGGATCAATAGGAATTAGTGGCTTACACAGTGGACTGGAGATGGTGACAAAGTTCAGCTCTCTGGAGCCATAATGTACGGGCATTTGCTTGCCACGACCCAAATCATCTACGTTGCCATAGCACTGATCGATGAACTGATCAATGCGGAAGCCACGCCAGACCAGCACACCGGCCTCACGATATTGGCCATAGATGAGGTCTCTCATCTCCAAAGCGGCCGCACTGCCGATGTGAGAGGCTTCCTCGCCAAAATTGGTCATGTAGAACGATATGCGCCCCTGGCGCTGCGATTCATATAGGATTTTATCCATTGTATTTAGCAGCAGCATGTCGCGGAACATCTTCTCCACCACCTCGCGGCCTAGCTGGGGATCTTGCGTTTCATCGGCAATGAAACCATCGCGATCCATAACGCGGTAAATGGGTATGGGCGCATAATCCTCCGGCATATTTAGCTTCAGTTTACTTACAAACGGGGCCTTGGCTCCAGGAAAATTGGCATAATCATTTGGCGGTTCAGAGCTGTAAGTCCGCTGATGCCGCAAGGTGGATCCAACAATCTGAAGATCGAAGGAATGCAAACAAATAAAGATCGCTGATCGCTGATTGACGCATCGAAATACCAACCGCTTTGAGATTTTGCTGCCTCCCCGCTGCTGCATTCAACAGTTTGACTGATTTGCGCAGGAATGACATTCTTATTGTATTCTTATTATTATTAAATGCAACAGGTTAAAAAAACAGTTAGAATTCAGATGCGTGTGCAGGTCCAGCTGATTACGCAATAGGAGCAGTGTGAGCGTCCGACCCTCAGAAAAATATACCGTAAATATACTGACGAATTCAAATTTATTTTACATATTCCTCGTTATTGATCTTCTGTCGAATATTATTAGCTATATAGAACATTTAGCCATGCCCTCATAATTTTATCCAATTAATGAATCTATTTTCTACTTGACCGGCTTATTCTTAATACTTGCTTTTATTGCATTTTGCGTCGCAAAGGTTTTAGCGAAATAGGTCAAACAAAAAAACGTTTTAGCAAAGGATAGTGGTTCATATTGCTCAATTTAGAGATTGTTATTGATTATTTAAACATTTTAAAAATATACAAAAAAACCGAAATTTAAAAAAGCTAGATCTAACGGAAAAAGCTAGTTTGGCAACACTAACTGGACATGTCAGCTGTCGAGGAACCGCAATTCTGGCTGGCGATTGGAATTTTAATCAAAAACTACCATGCCTTGAATAAAAAGATATTCGAAGTGGTCATCAGCCGAGTACAAAAGCAACAAGATGAAGAACAACTATGCGATTCCACACAAGAAGAACTGGAGAGGACGCTGAGGGAGCGGCCAGAGAAACGCACGTGCAGAGGCTTTAGGATTGGCTTCAAATTACTGCCCAAGAAACTAAAGGAGAACATTCTGGCCACAGGATTTGTGGGTGAGACAAGCCGTACATTTATTTGTTCTTTTCCGATTGAAATGTACTGGCAGATTTTCAGCAACGCCACTACCGATGCCAGTTTGCCAGCGATGATTTCGAAGACTTCTCGGTGCGGCTCGATGGCGGGCAGTTAGAGGTTGACTCTCTGCAGACTGGTAGATGGCAGGAGTTTGTGCTGAAGCCCAAGCTGCTAAGCTGGTCGCAAAGTAAACCGGACGAGACCAAGGTGAAGTCTCTCGGCCTGGTTGATGTGGAGAAGTACAATGATTTGTATAAGGAGCTGAAACAGAAGCATGCCCAGCGCCTGCTGCAGTACTGGCAAACGGCACAGGAGTCCACAGATCCGTTAAAGTTCATATACGAGGACCTGGCGATAGCGGCGTACCTCATAGTCCTGTGGGGTCAGACTCAAACAGAGCCCAAGGCTTTCGCCGATCTGGGCTGTGGCAATGGTCTGCTGGTTCACATTCTTAATGCCGAGGGCTATTCCGGCTATGGCTATGATATACGCAAACGAAAGCTTTGGTCGCTCTATCCGGAGGAGACTAGCAAAAGCCTCATCGAACAGGCTGTGGAGCCGAATAGCTTTCGCTTGGCATTCCCAGAAATTGACTGGCTGATTGGTAACCATTCCGATGAACTCTCGCCCTGGCTGCCGGTTTTGGCCGGGCGCCTGAACACACACTTCTTTCTGTTGCCCTGCTGCCCGTACGAATTGAGCGGGGCGAAGTTCCAGCGACGAAACACCAGCATAAGTGCCTATCAGGACTTCTTACATTATGTTTTTAAGGTTTCCGAGCAGTGTGGCTTCGAGACGCTTCAGGATCGCCTGAAAATACCCAGCACCAAGCGTTTGGCACTGCTGGGCCTCAAAAGGACCTCTAAGGGTACTCAAAGCATGGAGCATTTTGTGCAAGCAGAGCTGCAGAAGTACAAAATAGGAGATCCAAAGGACGAGTTGATCACCATAAAGCTGCGCGAGAAGGAGGAAATCGTACGAAATTGCACGAAAGTGGATAGATCTATTATTAATGGCCTGGTGCTAAAGATCTTCCGCTTGCTGCTTGACAGTCACGAAGACAGTTGGTCCGGCCGTCTGCCGATGCGAGACATTGCTCAAACTCTGACCAAAGAAGAGCTGAGCGGCATCAAGTCAGAGTGCGGTGGCATTAAGACTTTGTTGAGGAACAAACACGAGGTCTTTCAGTTCTGTGGCGGCGATCTTATTGGCATACGCAAGCCTCAGATGACTGCTGTTCCACATCCCCGTCTGGCCATCAAGAAGCGAGACTGCTTCTTCAAGCTGCATCATCCGTTGGGATGTCCCCTGGAGGATTCGGAGTGCACCTTCATACACTAGCTAATAGAAGGAGGCTTGTGCATAATTTATATATTTATTAAGTGCCGCATATGCTCCGCGCACGTTTATTGTTCCGATAATAATGTGAAATAAATTGAAGCTTGTGTTTTATGTGTATAAATCAGTAGAAATCGCTTGTCCAATGTACATCTAAGGATCCCTCTAGCGGGAGCTGTCTGAGCTGTTGCTGCGGCGTCGACGACGGATGGGGGACCGAGAGCGACGGCGCGGTGAACGATTCCGGTTACGGTTAGGGGGCGATGGCCGACGTCCGCCGCCACCACGATTATTGAATCGATTGAATTGCGGCGGGGAACGCCAGCGGTTGCCTTGCGGCCGTCGCATCGGTGGCGACGGACGACGCATGGGTGGCCGCTGTTTGGGTATGATAACGGGCGACACGGTTATCTCTTGGCCATCAACCTGGCCGCCATCCATGTGCTTCATGGCACTCTCACAGTCCTCGGCGGTGCCATACTCCACGTAGGCCATGCCTCGCCCGAAATTCGGATGGTAGCGATCGGTTGGAAACTCCACGGACTTCACATCTCCAAAGCTGCTGAAGATCTCGAATACATGATCCTTGGTCACGTTGCGGGTCAGTCGACCGACATGAATGCGCACCGGCTTCGGTGTGGGTGAGCGCGAACGCGGTGTGCGCGAACGTGTGCGCTCGCGTCTCTTCGGCGGCGGAGTCCTGTCTCCCGAAGTGCGCCCACGACGCCGTGGCGACCGCGAGCGACTGCCCGAGCGGGACCGCTCTCGCTTCACATTGTTACTGTCGCCTCCTACGGCGCCTCTGTCATTAGAGCCGGCACGACGAGCACGATCCCTGGACCGGCTGCGACGCTCTCGCTCGCGTTCGGGTTCCTTGCGAGCCTTGTTGCTGGGCTGTGGAGATTTTGATGTGCGACGCGGTGACCGAGATCGCGTACGCGACTTCTCTTTGTCTTTATCCTTGCCACCAGCGGCGCCACCGCCACCACCGGCTGCTCCACGACGACGGTTCTTCTCGCTACGATCCGAGTCGCTGGACGAGGACGAGGAGGAGCTCGACGAATCACTGGAACTGCTCGAGCTGGAGCGGGACCCAGTGCCAGAGCTGCTGCGCGACGAGCTGCTGTCAGATGAACTGGAATTATCATTTACATACATTTTTGGTGACACTTTTTCCAGTTAGGCCGGCTGTCAATTTGTGCAAAAATTGCGTGTCTTTTAGGATTTACCTTCTGCTGGAGTCGCTGCTAGAGGAGGCGGAACCACGGCGTTTGCGTTCGCGCTCCCTGCGCGAAGAGTTGCTGGTGGTCGCTGCCTTGCCCCCCTCCTTCTCTTTCGCGTCTTTCTCTTTGACATCCTTTTCACCCTCGCCGGCGGGACTCTGGGCACGCGCCCTAATTTTTGGCCAAGAATTGGATATGTTTCAATAAGACACCACGGCACTGGCCATTGCTACTCACATGTTTGTATTGGAATTCACTTTTAATGCACTTAAACGCGGCTGCAAATTCTAATCGAATTGCTAGCTGTTTTATTTTATAAATTAAATTATTTTTTTACCGTGCGTCAAAATGGTTGTTTTCGATTGCAGCAGTGTGACCGCGGATTTATCAGAATATACCCAAATATACCGCCTCATTTAAAAAATATACCGTAAATATACTGACGAATTCAAGTTCTGTTTTACATATTTCTCGATTTTGATATTCCGTCGGATATTATTAGCTATATAGAACATTTAGCCATGCCCACATAATTTTATCCCATTGATGAATAAATTTTCTACACGATTGGATAGTTTTGAATCCCTGCTTTTATTGGATTTTGTGTAAAAAGAGGTTTGAACGGAAAAGTTCGACAAAAAAAGAGTCACTGTGATGCGTTTAGGCCTTGGAATACCCTATTTTGTTAATTTTATATGAAGATGAAACGTGATTTATAAAGAAATTTTCTCAAATTGATATTCCTTAGAAATATTCATGTACATTATTAGTATCTTGTATATATTTATGTCGATCCTGATACCTACTAAGCCTTGGAAGACAAACGTATTCACAATTCTATAACATCCATTTGCCCCAGGGTATGTGTGCATGGAGTTAGCAACATTTGTGCATGGAATGCGCAACATTTGTGTATGGAATGGGACTCATTGTTGCAATAGCGAAACTGCGGCGAATCGGGTATTGCCTATATTTCAAGCTATATAGATTTGCCCACTTAGCATTATTCCATAGATAAATGCATTTTCTACAAGATTGCTTCTTTTAATTACCTTTATGTATTTTATTTTGACCAAAAAACGGTTTTCAAGTAAATGTTGCCGCAACTTTTGTGTATGGAATGCGCAACATTTGTGTATGGAATGAGACTCATTGTTGCCAAAGCGAATTGCGGCGAACTGCGGCGAATTCAAATTCGATTCAAAAAAACGACCAATTCCTCATATTCTTTGTTCCGTTGAATAATACTATCTATATAGAACATTTAGCCATGCCCACTCAATTTTGTACGATTGATGAATCAATTTTATACATGATTGGTCTATTCGAAATACTTGCATTTATTGGATTTTTATATAAAATTGAAAATTAAATTAATAGATGACAAAAATACCATTTAGCACTAAAAAACACCACATGGGAGCGCGGCGAAAACCAGTTTCTACAGTATATACGGTCTCACTTGAAAAATATACCGAGTGGTGCGCGCCAAATCGAACTTTTTTGAATGTGAGCGACAAGGATTTAAATGTTGTCAACCGGGCCTTTATCCATGCCCACGTTATTTTATCCGATTAATGAATGTATTTTCTACAAGACTGGTTAAGTTTAAGTTTTTATTTTTATTGCATTGTTTATGAAATAGGGTTCAAGGAAAACGATCAACAACAATTTCCAATAAATTATTTTATTTACATGGTAAGTACACTCTAACTACACATTTGATACATATTAACTACTTTTTTATGTAATTACCAAAAGCGACACCTAGAGGGGAAATGTATATATTAAAATACCCCCTTGCAACGGGTTAATTGTTCTCCGTCAAGGACTGGAAACCATTTGATATACGATTTGAAATAACTTTCATACCTGAATGCATCATATTATATGATTGCTAGATCAATTTTCTACAAGCCAATTTGAATTACTCTTTTTTAATTGAATTTTTCTTAAATAAGGGTTAAAGAAATAAAGTCAAAGCACAAAAACGTAAGTTTGTTCGGAATGAAACGTAAGTGCGTCTGGGATGTTACGTACTCAACAGATGTTTCAGGTGCCAAAACCGTTTCCGTTAATGTACGATATATTTAAACCTGTGTAAAAGGGTACCCAACCACATGAGAAGTAAGTTTATATGGATATATTATAAGTGGTGTATATATTAAAAGTATCTTATATATAATTATAATTATAGTATAGTAGAAAAAAAACCTTGAAAAGTATTCAATTTGAAGGTGTGTGAGCTAGACATGGTGGCAAGGAATTCAGTGTGATCTAAAGGGGAAATATGTACGTTTAAAAAATTTTTGCCAGGGCTCCTGAATAAAGACTATGTCGGCTCCACCCTTGGCTAGGTGGAGCATGCGCCTGCTGCCATACAATGGTGGAGGTTTATCTGCAGGAGTCGGATTTTTTTGTAGCCCTCCTTAACGCTGAAAAGCCCCACCGACCCCTCTCTCAAGACGAGGATGAATTGGCGCCCCCGTCCATTGCTCTCCCCTATCTTGGCCACCATCCAATCGGAGGTAGGATGGTGGGGGTTGCAGACCTGCAAAATCCGGAGAATCTTTTCCGGCTCTGCAGGCTTCGCCGAGACCCATGCTCTGGCCCTTGGTTTGCTTGGGATGTCTTCCCATTTAACTGCCTCCAGCATAGCTCCTGGGTGGTATATAAAGCCGAGAGCACCTTGGCAGGTGATGGTTATCACTTTGCCTTGGAGCCACCCGGCGTCCTCACATTAGGGCGGTGGTTCTCCATTATCCTTCAACTCCGACCCTGTCTAGGACTCCAATGAGGGGTTTTCCTCTCGCCGCCTCGGCAAACGAGCGGACCCTTCCTCGCACTTGCTGCCTCGAGACGGTAGACCGACTAAGTCTCCTTCCCCGTTGTTTTGGCCATAAACTGAAATTCAATAAATAAATGGTGTGTTTAGCTCTAGAGACTTTAAAACCAACTAACAGAGGGTTTAGTATTTTTATGATTTCAAATTCCCTTAGACTGTTTTAAGGATAAATATATTATGGTTACATTCAGTTACGTGCCCTAAGCAACTCCAATGTGAATTGCCAAAAGCCCATTGGCCATAAGGTCGTCACAGCCCATTGACTTCCATTGAGCAACCGGTAAACGGCACCGGCTGCTGTTGCTGTTGCTGCTCTGCGTGGGCTATCCATTTTAGGATCATTTTCCGATGAATTAATTTAATTTGGTCGCTGTGTAACCATATATTGGTTACATTTAAGGACTTGCGCACATTGCTGTCATTCTTAATGCGAATATTATTTGAGGCCCAAACAATCTGGTTGTGGGACAGCATTTTCCCACCAGTTCCCGCGATCTCTCTCTGTGTATGTGAGTGTGTGTGTGTTTGTGTTTGTGTCAGTGCACTTCCTTGGTATGTTTTCTATTCATTCCAACACTTAAACTGACATTAGCCGCCAGCTTGAGGTAGAACGCTTCTTCTAATGCACAAATAATTGCAGAAGATGCTTCTGCTGCTGCAGTTGTCGTTGTCGTTGCTGTTGCTGTTGCAGTGTCAGGTAGCAGCCGACAGTTGTGTGCGGCTCTTTCAGCTGATTGCTCAATCTCAATGAAATATGATTAAATAAATAATTGTTGCTTTAATTCAGTTTTGCTCCTCACAAAATAGTTGGGGGTCTGTCTTCTTCAGGTGGTAATGGAGCCGCCATGCTGTTAACGGGACTTTGGTTTGCCATTCTCATACTTCCGATATGCAATAACTGTAATTATTTTACATAAATATGTACATACATATATGTATATAGGGCTCTGCATGGGTGTCATATGTTTAATAAGTATTTTTAAATTTATTTATTTTTCGAATGACCCTGAGAAATAATCGCTTTAATTTTAATATTTACTCTTAGATTTATAAACGCAGTGGAAATTGTACGAAGTGGTTTTAATTACATTCGTATATTATCGAATACAAATTTAATATATTTAATTTATTTTAAAGTGTTTTATACTCAGATAGAATATGGGCAGGATTAAAAAGTCTTTTTAATTCATTTACGTTTAAATCGAATTAAATTCTATTTAATTTAACTATTTTTGTATTTAAAAATCGAATATTTAATTTGCTACACAATTTTCCTCTGAGTGTACGAGCATAGCTAAACATGGAAGATTATAAGATCTTATTTAGTCGAAATATAATATTAAAATGAAAGCACCATCTCCCATAAAGGATTGATCTACAAAATATTTGGTGAAGAAAACCTGAGACCAAAATCGATTATTGACGAAACTTGATCCCCAAAACATAATCCAGAAAGTTAAGACCTCCCCTCCACCCCCCCTTGAAAACAGAAGTAGAAACATAAACTCTCGGTTTCAGTTTGTGTGAAATTGAATTTCCCAAAAGAAAGCCCGAACCAGACATCTTCTCTTCGGTCAAATAGAAGAACTTTCCACAGTCGAAGTAAAAGTTGCAGCCCAGATTGATCGGCTTAAAGTTGCCCCGGCTAAATAGCAAAAGCAAAAGCAAGGCAATACAAAGTTTGTCCACTGCTAAATGATCATTAAAGTGCGTAAATCGAAACCAGACTGCATCTCGCACTGGTCGTCCAAGTTGAATTGACTTTTTCGGCATTGGTCAACATTAGACATTTTGTCCTAATTACACAGACGACAAACTGAGAGCTAAGAGCTGGCCTCAGCTTCAGATGCAGCTTCAGATTCGGGCTTCAGGTTGCACTCCGAGACTTCGAGTTGATTGGCGACGCATGCGCAAGCGCACCAGCACTTCACTTTCCATTTAATCTCGTTTGGTTTGGTTTCGTTTTGGTGGTGCAACTGCCACACAATTTGTCGCAGCATCGCGCGATGCCGCCGCATGGAAATCGAAAGCCGATTTTCATGTCAATATTTTTGTTTAATAAACTGCCGATGGACCGGACCCTGCCAGCCAGCCAGCCTGCTAGGCTACATAGGTGGCAGGCCTCGCTCGTCTCGTCGTCTGAGCATGCGGAAAATATGCAAATTACCATCGACATCGACGTGCATCATAAGGTGCCCCCAAGGCACGGCAGCTGCACCGGCAGCGGCAGCGGCAGCGGCAGCGGCAGAGGCACCGCGAAAGATGAAAGTTGTCCACATGGTAGAATGACGAGGCTGAAAGTGCAAGTGGGTCCGGCGATCCACCAACGAACGTGCGATTGATGTAAGACGGTTATGGAGACTTCAGACTGAAGACTGGGATGGGCTGGGATGGCATCGAGATCATATGCGAGGTGTCAACAGAAGTTGGTCGAGTGGTTTCACTTTTCTAAATAGAGCCCGC